GGAGAGAGGAGGAGGAAGGGGGTGGAGGAAGGAGTGGTAGAGGAGGAAGGGGGGAGGAGGAGGAGGAGGAGGAGGAAAGGGGGATGGAGGGGGAAGGGGAAAGGGGGATGGAGGGAGAAGGAGGAGAAGGGAGGGGGGCCGGGGATAGATGATTCACTAGTTTCGAGTCTTGTTTTAGTTTTGCATCTCTCTTTCTCTCTGGCTTCTGTTTTTGTGTGTCAATGCCTTTGTCTCTGTCTGTATGTATGTGTCTGTCTCTCTCTTTCAAATACATGCAAACAAACGCGTACTCTCTCTCTCTTTTCTACACACATTATCTCTCTCTCTCTCTCTCTCTCTCTATCTATCTATCTATCTATCTATCTCTCTCTCTCTCTCTCTGAAATGAGAAGTTGTCAGTGGCATCAGGCATTTCAATACAAAGCCAAACAATACAATTGATAATAATGTGAACATCTCATTTTCTCTCTCTCTCTCTCTCTCTCTCTCTCTCTCTCTCTCTCTCTCTCTCTCTCTCTCTCTCTCTCTCTCTCTCTCTCTCTCTCTCTCTCTTTCCTTATCATCAACAGTATGATTATCGCCATCAATTTATTTTAAATCACATTCTATAAACTGAATTATCAAATATGATGTTTCGAATTCCGATGTATAGTTGTCCAGTGAAGCTATTTTTTCCCTCACCCCCACCCTCCCAGTCCCATTTCTCTCCTCTACGGTGTAGTTTGGCCAATTCGGTTGTTTCCTCACGGTAGTTCCAGTCCTAAGGGGTGACATGTCCATTCTTGCCTACCTGTGAATGCTGGATACGGTGGCTTGAGACTAAATTGCCGTGTGTAAATATAGATGAAGTGAGGACTACAATTCACTTTTGTAATCAAATTTACGGCATATTTCATTTTTATTTTATTTATCTATTTATCTATCTGTTTATTTACAGCGTAATGAGGATGTATATTCAAATTGGCGATGTAATTATGAATTTTAAAAATCCACGTAATGTTAGTGGTTGACGTGGGTAGGCCTAGCAAACTGTATGTAAGAAATCCCTTTTGTTCCGCCACTTTGCTCATTAACTCGTTTCATCGTCAAAGTAAATTTATGGTGCAGGTATGATTATAAAGTAACCTATGACAGATTAGGGGATTCATTGCAAGCGGATATTATATTCAGTATTATATAAGAACACAAGATCTAGCCACTTTTTGCATCTTTTTTATGTATCGGTGGCAAGAACTTGGAATTTCAAGATTTGGTCCTCAAGGCTGCTTCGGAACCTACCTGCTTGCCTACACCTCTCGTCTAACACTGCCAAGGATCAACTGACCTCAGGTGTTGTCCGAAAGGGCTTCATCTCCATCTCTGTTTTTTAAATTTGTCTGTATTTCCTATTCATCGCTGGTTTTCTGTATTTTTTTTCTATTTTTTTTCTGCTCTCGACTCACAGTGTGCACTGCCTATACATGCATACATTTTCACACAAGCAAGCAAGCAAATACGTACACTCAACTAAACATGAACAGACGAAAGGACACTGCCAAATGCCTATAGGCCTATACAACCAACCGACCAAACCAATGTATACGAATCCACGCTAAAATCTCCAAACGCGCGGACAAAACCCACACACGCAGGGTACTGCAAGAAGCCACCAAACCCAGGAGGCGGGATTACCTATTCTCATTAGCGGGCGACCTTCGAAAGAAAGAGAAAAAGAGCGAGAACTCCACCGTCATCGTCGCCTGCATAATGCCCCCTGACCTTGCTTTCACGGTCGACAGTTCCGTTGTCACAGTTACAAAAGCTCGACGATTTAACTGCGTCGAATCGAATCACGTTTGGCGTCGAGTTCTCTTAATGGGTAGCAGGCAAAGTGAACAAAACAAAGAGGAATTGACTCATAGATTCCAGAACCTTCAAGACAACCCAAACTTTCTGGCAAGACATGTTGTCCTTCCGCCCGCTGCCTTTTGCACTGAACTTCGTTTCGTTAGCCAGAGTTTCCCGCGAAAGTCCTTGTCTTAACTGTAATAATATGAATGTTAATGACGTCAGACTGGCATGTGGGTTTCAACGCGTTTGAAGGCTTGGTGTGACTTTGACTTTGACATTATGGGACGCATGCCAAGAATATTAATTCCGTGGTAGCGGTCGCGCTGGCCGAGAAGTGAACATCGGGAGCGAAATACGGGATCCGGTTTCTGTGGCTATAGCAAGGGATTCGATCCTATCAAAGAGGATTATCGGCATTCGTTCATCCCTTTTGCTTCTGTTGACTAAAAAACGAAAATTTAAGTGTCTCTAAGTACACTGGCGGGCCAGACTCGCCGATTTTACTTTAACAGTGAACAAAGGATAATAATTATAATAAAAATGAAGATATTGATATTGACCGGAATGATGATTATGACGGCGAAAAAGATGATGATCATGATCAACACCATGATAATCATATGATAATGATAATGATGATAATTATAATAACATCAGTAATAGTAACAAGAGTAATCGTAGTAGTCATAATAGATAATGATAATGGTAAATGTGAAAATTATAATGATGTCACGTATGGAGTTAAGAATGTAATAACTTAATGTTGACAGTGGTAATGAGATGACGATAAAGATAATGATGTTGACAATGATGATGATGATGATAATAATGATATAATAATAACGATGGTGATAATAATAATAATAATAGTAGTACAATAATGATAATGATAATGATATCAATAATAACAACAACAGCAACAATGATGTTAATAATAATGATGGTAATGTCCGAAAAGGTAGTGAAAATGATGCTTATGATAACAATAATTCTAATTGTGATAATATTAATAATGATAATGTTAATAATAATAATGATAATGTTAATAATAACAATAATGATAATAATAATGATGATGATGATAATAATATCAATAATCTATAATGTTGACAATAATAATAATAATAACAAGAACAACAATAATGATAATGTTAATGATAATAATAATAACAATGATATTAATAATGATGGTGATTATGACAACAAAAGCAATTATAATGATAATAATTACAATGATGATAATGATAGCGATAATGATAATGACAATGACTAATAATATCATTATAATTATCATCATTATCATAACTTACAGCAATAATGATGATAGCGACTGCAGTAGTGATAATAAGAAGAATAGCATTAACAATCAGTATCTATAATAACCATCATGATAACAATGCTGTTGACGATGACTATGTCGATGATGATAACAATAATGATGACAACAACAGTATTGATGATCAAGAATAACAGTAAATTCAGGTAATATATTATTCTTCAGCTGCTTTGAGTGCAGGATGTTGCCATGGAAACCGTTAACGATAATGCAGGTAAGTCAATTTTATACTTGTTTTCCTCTTCTTTCTTTCTTTCTCCCTCTGTCTATCTCTCTTTCTCTTTCGCTTTCTTTTTTTCCCTCTCTCTCTCTTCCTTCCTCCTCTCTTTTTCATTCTCTCTCTTTGTCTCCTTCCCCTCGTCTCTCCTTCTCTCCTTCTCTCCCTCCCTCCCCCCCCTCTCTCTCTTCTCTCTCTCTCTCTCTCTCTCTCTCTCTCTCTCTCTCTCTCTCTCTCTCTCTCTCTCTCTCTCTCTCTCTCTCTTATATATATATATATATATATATATATATATATATATATATATATATATATATATGCACACACACACACACACACACACACACACACACACACACACACCACACATATATATATATATATATATATATATTATATATATATATATATTATGTTATTTTTTGTTAACATCAATCCTAATAAGAATTATAGTACTACCTAAACAAAAAAAAAAAAACGTTTATAATTTCAATTGGTCCTGCTTTTGGTGCCTTTCTGTTGGGCCAAATAAATCTCGGAGGATTTTCGATTCTTTTCAAGCCACTATTGAAGACCACTGGCTTGACGACGAATGACACCAGAGCGCAAAAATAACCAAAACGCTAGCTACTTGTCTTGTGGATTCCGATACGTTTTCAGACTATCTTTGCAACTACTATGGAAGACCTAATAATCCATGTTGATACAGTTACAAAGTATGACTGCAGTAATAACAGTAACTCACTGTTTCCTTTGGTAGCTTTGTCAAGTTAGATTAGAGTTCCCC